CATTAATTGCAATCTTATCTTCTATATCTGAAATTCTGTCCTCACATTGGCTCCTTCTGCTGTGTAGACTTTCAGTGGAGTTTTTCATCTCCTGGAAATCTATTTACATGTGTTTTATGGATTCCATTTGTTTCCTATGTTGGGATTCCATCATATTCCTCAGCTCCTCTCTAGATTTATTAATCATTTCTTGCACCAGGAGCATAATTTCTCCTGTTACCTGAGAAATTATTTCTGATTTCATTTTTTCCAGATCCCCTTTTGTTGCCAGTTCAGTGGGTCCAGGTTTTTGAGTATCAGAGTGTTCCATCTCATTTCCCTTTGTTGTTGCTGTAGGTGATCTGGAAGTCTGGTTTTGAGACTTATTTACCTGTTTTCTCATTTCAACTGGGGGCGGGGGGGGCAGGGGTGTGCTCTTGGCATCCGCAGTGCTCACCTCCTCTGAGGTGGGAGAGGTGGGCTGGGGCCAGGAGCAGCAGTAAGGTTGGTGGCCCAAACGCCCCTTCCGCTAGGCCGGGAGTGGCAGGACGTTTGGCGGCCCAGAAGACCCTTCCTCTGGACCAGGAGTAGTGGGAAGGTGGCTTAGAAGCCCCTACCTCTGGGCAGGAATTCTTTAAATGCTGAGAACTTGATTAGCTGCAGTACAGTGGTCTGGTTTCTGGTGTCCTCTGCGTCTTTGTAGTGTGGAACCAGTTGGCTGTCTGCAGGGGGCTGATTTGGTGATTTCCACAGTACTGGTGACCTCAGGACCACGTCTGCAGACCTGCCTGCCCGTAGCGGGCTGATTTGGTTTTTTCCGCGTGACTGGTGACCTCAGGACCGTGTTCGTAGACCTGCTTGTCTACAGCAGGCTGATTCGGTGATTTCCGAGCGACTCTGTTTACATTTTTCTTTCCACAATATGTAGGAATAATCTCCTTACATTTTAGATTGTTACTTGTTTTTTTTTTTTTTTACAATTCTGTTTTTTGGATAGGATTTTTCCACTGAAATGGCTTATTAACATTGGAACCATGAAGAAATAAAAAGTATACTCTCAAGTTATGGGTAGGTTGTACCTACATCAAGGTGGATCAAAAAGTAATGATTAGTTCAGGGTCAGAAAAAAACCCAGAATTATCTTATGTGTATATTTTTCTCTTTGCTCTGATAATAGTACCTTTTACTGTGTTGCCACAGTTGCTGTGTTTTATGATAATTACATTATTTCCTCTCTAAATAAATTGTGAGTTTCTGAAAATATGCCATTGTGCCTTATTCACTTGTGACATTACATTATACCTAGTATATATACTTGGTCCTCAATAAATATTTTTGAATTGATGTTTATTGTAATAATAAATGAAAAAACAATGTTTATTTAAATTCCTTTGAAAAGGTTTGTCCTCTTCAGAAAATAGATTAGAAATTTTCCAGGACAGGCAGAGGGATGAACGGAGAGTTACTGCTTCATGGTTACAAAGTTTCTCTTTGTGATGATGAAAAGTTTTATCATAGATAATAACAATAGTTGCCCAACATTGTAAAAGTAATTAATATCACTAAATTACACATTGAAAATGGGCAGAATAACAAATTTTATGTTATATATATTTTAAAATAGCACAATAAAATTGTGGTCTCTGTTTCTACCACCCTTAGTGACCAAATGCTATATTGTGGTTGACTAAGTCAACTTTACTATCTCGGAACTTAGAAAAAGAAAGAGCTATAGATACTGCAATGGAAAGGTGAAATAAATGTCCTGGAAGACCAAGAACACTGGGTAATAAACCATAGATGATAAAAAATTGACTCTGGAGAATGTTACTACAGTATGTAACAGAGTAGACTGACTATTTGCACTTACATCTTCTACAAATGGAGGAGGGCAAAACGAAACCCACAAACACTGCCAACACTCCATGCAAAGTAAGTGTGTGGTAAAGCATGAAGGCCAGCTGTTTGAGAATTCTTGCCACCCTATAAGCCTGGATGGCATTTGCACAAACTGTGTCTTGGAAATTCTTGGATACTCAAAGGGCTGTTGAATAATTGAGGTGAGCCAACTGTTAGAATAACTTCACAATGGTCCTTAGCATAATTTGTATGTTAAATTCATCACTCTGAGAAAGCCAGGAAGAATGCAAAGGTCATCAATCTTGAGGTGAGTATATTAGCTACATGACATCTTCTGAAGCAATTCTTGAGAAACATGTGCTGTGGCTTTCCCACATTATCATGTGCTTCCGGAAGTCTCACAGTGAACCACCAAGCAATCATTCATATGTATTTCCAACCTAAGCCCAGCTCCAGAGGGCCTGGGCTTACAGCCATATCAAGCCTAGAGCTGACACCCTCACTGCAGGTACTCTTGGTCTAAGAAAGTGCTGAAAATTATTAATTAACTAATAAGTATAGATATTCTCAATTCATTGAAGTGATAAGTAAATAGCTCTTTTATAACAACATCTTTCTTAACTCTAACAAAGGGGGTTTTTGTTCATGGAGTTAACTCTCCCTGGCTTGCTCTTTTAAGCAGACTACAGTGCCTCTTAATCTTTCCCTAGGAAAATTCAAGATAGACAGGCCCATTAACAGGCCCCATCATAACTTTATGAGATATTAGTATGTTGTAGATGTAGTAAATAGGTATAACTACCCTAAATACTTCAGAATATCAGGTAATTCATGATACTGGCTTGCTGGGATTTAGAAGAGGCAGCAACCACTAGTCTGGGGATAACAGGTGCTGAAGATAAAAGATTAATTCCAGATTTTCCTATTAGTTCTTTGGACATGTAGAGTATAGTTACCCCCTCCAGATGAAAATGTCACATATTCTCAGGCGGATCTGTTTGGTATTAATGCCATAGACCAGAGGGTTGAGAACAGGGGGCACAAGTAGATAGAGATTTGCAAATAAAATGTGCACCTGAGGAAGTATTTGGTGGCCAAAGCGGTGGGTAAAAAAAGAGAAAAAGGCTGGGATATAGAAGACAAGAATTACACAAATGTGGGCTCCGCAAGTGCTAAATGCTCGGAATTGGACATCTTTAGAGGGCAGTCGAAGCACAGCCTGCAGAATCACAATGTAGGAGGTGACAATGAGAACCACATCCATGCCGGTGATGGAAAGTGCTACAGTAAGACCATAAATGGTGTTGGGGTAGATGCTGGCACAGGCCAGCTTGGCTATGCCCATGTGCTCACAGTAAGTGTGGGGGATTACATGGTGTCCACAGAAAGGTAACCGCTTGATGAGGATGACAAAGGGAAAAACAAAGAGAAGACCACGAATCACACATGCCAGACCAATCTTCCCAATCATAGTGGCATTGAGGATGGATGTGTAATGAAGTGGACGACAAATAGCCACATAGCGGTCAAAAGCCATGGCCAGCAGAACAGCTGACTCAGTGGCAAAAACTGCATGAACAAAGAACATCTGGGTGAGACAGCCATGATAGGAAATTATGTGGGACCTAAGCCAGAAGATCGCTAACATTTTGGGCAATGTTGTTGAACAGAGTACCAGGTCAGTAATGGAAAGCAGGCACAAGAAGAGGTACATGGGCTCGTGCAGAGCTCTGTCTGTCGTGATGATGTACAGGATAGTGCCATTGCCAACCAGTGCAAAGATGTACATGGAGCAGAAGGGAATGGCAATCCAAATGTGCTGTTCTTGCATCCCAGGAATTCCGAGTAAAATAAATGTGGAAGGGTGGAAAGTGGTGTCATTGGAGACAGATGCAGAGAGCATTCTGAAGCAGAAAACAGCCTTTATCTTCCTAAAAGTGGTTAGAAAATAAAATGATGTCATCTCAAATGCCATTTGTTCTTTCTAAGCATCTATTGGATTTCTTCTCTCTTTTATCCCTACCAATTCTGCTGTAATTCATGCCTTTTTCTTTTCTGGCCTAGGTTATTAAAGTGATTTCATAACCAATAAGTGCTTATCCCACTTCTAAGATTTCCACCTCCCAGTGAAGCTTCTGCATTGCTGCCCAAATATTTCAACATGAATATAACCAATCAACTATAAGGCAAATGTTAACTTTTCTTAGTGTACGCTCTCCAGCCTAGCCTGCACTCACCAGCTCTGGTCTACCTTCACTCTTTTCTGTCATGTTCTGGACCCTGGCACACAGACCCCTTCATCTTCTCACTGCTAGTTATACTGAGCAGTAGGAAACACCAACAGGAGGTTGACAGGAGGAAGAAAAGTGAGAGCAGAAGTTTATTTCTCCAACAGCTTTTGAGCAGGGTTGTTTGTTGCAAGCTCCCTATATCCTGCCTTTCTCTACATCCCATCTCTCCAGTTCTGGTTTCTTCTGGTACCCACATCATCTCTTAGTCCCTGTCATTTACCTAGGGAACTTTACAAACACTTGTGACTTTCTCTACACATAACACCCCTGTTTCTCTCAAAATTCCCTAAGTTAGATGTGTAATCTGTTTCCCACTGGGATCCAGAACAAGGATCAGGATGCAATGCTCTTCTTCAGGGGGCTTTTTGCTGCCTATCTAACATTATTTATCATTGTTTGCACCATGTTCTTTATGTTTCAACAATACATATTGTCTTGAAATATCTGAAAACATACTTTCTCACACCAAGATGCTTTTTCATGGGCATTTTTTTTTTCCTGCATAGAATGGTCGCTTCCACTTAGTTACCTGACAAGCTGCTAATAGTCTTTCAAAAATCAAGTGAATACATACTCAGCTATAAAGTACTACTATAATAACTTTTCCTAAGGAGAGAGAACCATACATCATCAACATTCCTCCTTTTGGAAATATACAATGTTTAATAATTATGTGTATATATCCCTCTTTATTATGCTCTGAAATTTCCAAGTCTTATTTTTCTTTATGTCTAGCATTTATGCCTTTTATACATTAGGCTGACAAATAATGTTTATGAGTTACTAATGGAAGGTTGAACCCAATAATTGAATTTTAAAGACTTGGGTGAATGACTATAGTAAAAAAAATGGATATTTCATCTTGGTAGCTGTCCTTATTAATAAGACAAGATCTTCCCTTGCTAGATCTTATGTACCCATTCTTCTCAGTGTATGTAATCTAGGAAGTGCTCCTTATCACTTCTTGTTTAATATGATATAACATTAGTATTATTAGTATACAGTATTAACAGATAAAATAATGTAATACCTAATATGATCTATATAATACATACCTGTCTGTTTTTTTATTAAATATATGCATTCATTTGATCATAAAAATCTTTGCCTTATTTTGCTTTACAGCTTTATAAAATGATACTGCAGACTCATACGTTACAGCCAGTCAGTCCAGAAGCCACATAGGTATGCACGCCCCCAAATCTCCAATATGAATTATGTTCTGGGAAGGGAAGAGAAAGAGCAAAGACATGGGACTTGCAGATGAGAGAAATTGGGAGTTTCTCAGAATGCCTGCCTGTGGTTTAAGATTATGCCAATAGGAAAGGAGACAAAGATTCTGCAGCTGTCTTGCCTTGGGAGATCCCTGTACACGGAGTCAGAGTCATCATTTTTATCTTGTTGAGCTCCAGTCTTTGGGCATCAAAGATTCTCATCTTTCAGAAGAGACACCAACATTTAGCTCATTCAGTCATTCTTCCCTAGAAATAATTTTAGAATGTGGAGGAAATAATCAAAGCGTTGTACAAAGACTCTCCTTCCTTTAAATCTCTGCTCACCTGAAACTGCATCATTAAAAGAGTAACTAATGGTGCAGTATGGATTTTCTTTGTTTTAGCAATTGCAATGTATGTGCCTCATTTACTGCCATAATTTATACTGAGTTATTGTAAAGTATATAGATATCATTATTCTAAGTTTTAATTACTAACAAAATCATTATTGTTTATATTTTAAATCCACAACAAGATAGTTAACTATAAATTGTGCTGTGATTGTGTGTATCCTTTAAAATTCAAGAATTCAGTTACAACTTCCCAAAAGAAAGTGATTGTACACATGTCAGAGCCCATCTTGGAAAAATCTAAATGTTTTGGCTTCTATCCTGGTAATGCCTGCTCTTTTAAAACAATAGATAAGGTATAGTAGATAATGTGAAATGGGAAGAAAAGGTGCAAAGGGAAAGGGGAATTGGGAGGGGTAGGGGAAATGAAAGAGGGGAACAGAATTAATACGAGAAAAAGAAAAAATGGAAACAAAGTCTTTGTAGATAGGGAGGGGTGGAGGGGTTGAAGGGAGGGTGGGGGGAGTGGGGAAAAAAAACCAAGAGAGATTATGTAAAGGTGCAAATTTCCAATGATGAATGTCATTATATTGTATACCTTAAATGTAACTGATATAATTAGTAAAAAATAAATAAATAAAATAGATAAGCCAATATGATGTAATTCTGTTATGTTGTTAAGAAATAAGTTACTAAGTATTTGTGATTTAGTAATTTTATGTTGCTTGACTCCCAAATAAAGGTATCCTGAGATAACAGATCACCTGGTAGTTACTTGTGCTTCTCTGCTGCCAGGAAGCTTATATTTTCTTTATGCAGCCATGCTCAACTTCAGACCTTGAGTTGGAAAATGTTTCTCTTTTCACTGAGCCAAAATCTATAACAAAAACCCACAATAAACATTATTTTCTTCAATTTATTAGGCTTCCAAACTTATAAATATATACTAGTATTTCTTAGGTTTACTGTATTTTATTTCTTTGTCAAAAAATTTTACTGTCTCTTCTGTATCAATTATTCTTGTAGTCATTTCACATATATTGATGAGTAAGAACACACATGCTCAAGGATATATTAAGCATACAGTTTAACAAGAATACATAATTATTCAAGTAATCTCCATCACATGCATTAAATACTATACTGATTATGCTATGAAGAAAACTTACATAGGCCAATTTCTACCCAGAGAAGTCTTCCCAGGGGAAATGAAATTTAGACTCCAAATCCAGGTCAGATGCTTCAATCATCTCTTGTAGAAATGTGCTCCCGGCATTATCAGCCTTCTGAAGCTCTCCTTCTGGGGTCCAGTCTGAAAAATAAGACATCAGGACTTAAATTTATACTCCCGGGGTTCAAAGGATAGCTGTATGCCAGTACGTGCTAACTATATTCCCTTTATTACTTTTTGTATCCCCTCAGTCCTCAGCTTCAGATACTAATACTTTACAGGGTTTTGTGTTGAGAAAAGTTATGCAAAAACATCAGTATAATATAGTCTTATAACTTAAGGTATATCAGCTTTAACACTGTTATTTCTCATGATTTTGAAATCTGTGAGTCAATTGAGCTATGTATTCACCTCTAAAAAAGAGGAAACTTCATTTGAAAATCTCAAATTGAAAGATGCATTGGCTTTCTTAAATCTGTAATCCAGGATGAGGCAATATGGTTTCACTCCTTTCTAAATCAAAGACTTTCTTTAGAGATAGAGAAGGCTTGTCCTCAGCTAGGTGGTTAGGTGAACTCTCAGGAGATGAAGATGGATGGCTCCCGAAAGATCCCAATATCATCAAACTGCCAGCGTCATTGGAGTCTTTTCATTAATTTCCTTCAACCTCAAGGAACTGTTGTGGCATTTGGTTTCCTTTGATTCAAAAGTAAGAAGTGTATTCAATGCTTGTGCCTGATTTTCCCCTGGAGGAAAAAAAACACCTGGGGATTTCCTGCAAGGATTTGTAGCTTGGTGGGTTTCTAAAGTTTCCACACATGAAATTCTAGGATTATCCACATGAAGAAAGTTAAATGTGGAAAGAATCAGCTATGCTCAGATACTGGGGGGATAGGAAATCAGGTGACTTTGCTGCTGTCTAGCCTTTCTGGAGACACCGTGATGGTCCTAGGCACTCAGGAACAAAGTTGCTCACTAATAAATGAATATAGCTTCACCCATACCTGGCTGGTGTAAGTGAGAGCAAGAGGCAGCCATTGTGTGTCAGTATAGTAACCATTTACTACCTATAGGTATCTCAGGTCATCATGTTGTACACTTCTAATACACAAAACAAAATTTACTTTAAAGAGAAAAAAGAAATGCTGACCTCATTTTTTAAAGAAAGGCTCCTGCCAGAGATCCATCTGATTTATTTGACCTACAAGGAGAATAGCCAGAGGCTAAAACTTCAAACTGCAGCAGGACAGATTTAGGTGCAAAGCAAGGAGAATTTACCATGATAAATGTTAATATGCACAAGGTCTATACAACTATCTGAGGGATCCAAAGAACTGTCTTTTCTATAATGGAGTCAGAGAGCTGACTGAGATGATCTCTACAGCACCCCAAAACATTAGCATCTCTGTATGATTGCTGTTTCTCCTAGTCTTTCCCTAGCTCTCTTCCTGGCTTAAGAGAACTGTCCTGAACCCAATTTCCTGTTCACTTCATCCATTTGGCTGGCACTCACCCCATCTAGGTAGTCAGAAGCACAAAAGACTTGATCCAGCACAGGTAGCATAGCTCCTGGATCTGAAGTCTGAACCTATTTATCCCTATCATGTAAAGACTTTTTAATCCAGAGAGACTGTGCTTGGCTCAGAACACCCAGGGTCCCAGCTGCTACACAGAAATGAATTTGGATATCCAGGCTCTGGGGAGACATGCCAGTCAGGGAAGGATCTTTCAAAGGAACTTTTTTTAACACAGAGGAAAGAAGTCACCAGCACCCTGCTCCAAGGAACAAACCACTGTTCGATGTTTAGAAAAAAAAAAAAAATGTAAGCAAGTTTTGCCAGACTGTTGGGGAAAGCCATTCAAGAAAGGAGGAGCAT